GAGTGATATAAATGTTTGAACTCGTTCTTATATGTAGGATATTCATGTATATTTATTTGATAATGACTTGCGATAAAGACGGTTAAAACCGATAAAGTCAAACGCCAATCGTTAAATTTTTTTTTGCATTTTGGGGATACAGTGACGATCCCGGGGAAAGTTAGTCATCTTCGAATGGAAAGATTGAAAACGCATCACGAAGATAGCAAAATTTGTCAAAGTCTGAGACCTACTTTCATAATTATTTGTGTAATTATCTACAAATGAATAAAATGAACTATACAAATAAATTATACTACCTATACTTAAAGATGTATGAGCTGTATAGCCTCTGTAAAAATAACTGAAATTGAAAATTTTATGTTTTCGTATAAAAATGTTATATGAAATTAAAAAAGGTTAATACTTATATATATTTAACATATATAATTTTATGAAAATATATATATTAATTTATGAAAATTCTTATTTTATCGTAATTATTTTTTTTTTAATATCTATCTTTTATTGAAATAATTTTAGATCTAGGTTTTAAATCGCCTTTAAACTGTATTATTTTCAAAAATATAATATATAAAAAAATCTGTCATTCATTTTCATTTTTGTTAAAAGAATACGTATTGTATAATACACCCTTAATATAACTTGAGCCGAATAATATTAATTTGAATTCCATTGAATTTTTTTTCAGGGGACGTCTTTGAGAAACTGGAAGATGAAGACGAGCAAGGATGGTGCAAAGGAAGGAAAGATGGCAAAGTAGGCCTTTATCCGGCGAATTATGCAGGCTTGGTGTCGCAATAGATTAACTAATGCAAAGCCAAATCCACAAGATAGTTACTTAAATATGTAATCTCCGCGAAGAATAAGATTGCGTTTCATTTTTCTTCGCTATTGTTTGCGCGAGTAGAGATTTCGCGGGGAATCAGTTTCGCAGCGTCCTATAGAACTATGCGGCTTATAATGAATGAATTGAATGAAGAAAACAAGTTATAAAAATCTTTGAATTCGATACCTCTAGATGAAATGCAAACTGATTGTCAGCATTTACGAATTGTATAAATGACGAGTGGCGATTCCATTTCAAGATCTTTCCTTCGCGGTTAGTAAGCGTTTAAATGGAACGGTATATACCACACGAAGATATACCCCTCACTCAGAATGAAATTTGTTTTTAGATAGCTAGGTTAGAGTTAAAATCCTTCATTAGTTAGACTCTATAGACAAATATGAATTACACGCGCGCATGCTGTGTGTATAGCAAGTTTAGAATATTGGAATATTGTACGTTCTACGATTCATTGTTGTAACTCATTGTTGTAACAAAAAGAATCTTTTGGTTGAAACACGACGAGAATTCTATTTAATTTATTGTTATTAAAAAAAGAAGTACTATTAAAAATTAATGTCTATATAAATGGTGTCATTGTATATAATAGATGTAAGAACCTAGCAATTAAACCATTAATTGTCATTTTACGAATTTGAAGTGTTACAATATATTTGAGGTGAACGTAAAAAACAGCACATAACTTTGAATGGACATAGATTTCATAAAAAGAAGATTTGGAGACCTATAATTATTTATTTTATTGATTATAGTCGAGATAATAATTTAATAAAATAAATATCAATTATCAATATGCTGTTAAAGAAAAATATTTTCATCTAAAATATATCGTATATAGATATACAAATATACATATAAACTTGTATAAATTCGATATAAGAATTGTCTTTAAAAGAAAGTTTTATTTAATCGTTTATATTTTCATTTGGAAGAGATCCTCATATATTTCAGAATTAATTATAAATAAACACCCAAAAGGTTAAAATGTCTCGCATTAACCATTACTTTAATTAATATAATACATACCTACCAAATATCACGCATATGTATTGAATGAAATAAGTTTTTCTAAAACTAAATTTCTAGAGTTAGCACGAATCATGTAAAAATCAACATATAGCTAACGTTTTTTATTTTCAAGAAAACTCTTTTCGTATAAAACACATCTTCCGAGTTATCTAATGCGTTAGCTGCAAAGTCATAGGGATACTTGATTTATGATTATTATAATATAGGTATTTTGAAAAAACAAAGTATTCATTGCGAATACGTCGTGTCTATGTACACAATATTTATGTAAATAATGGTATAGAATATATAGTAAAATGATAAATTCAGTCTAACTGATTTTTTTTTAACTATTCATTTAATTAAATCCTTTAAATTACCTTTTGTAAAATGTGTTCACAGTTCCAAACACAAATGTTGTTAAGTATATATAAATTGTAGCTTGTGTATAAAGTTTATTATGTATGTTTAATAAATGACTTCTACATAAAAAAAACAACATTTTATCGATTTATCTTATTATATTTATAAATTATTGTTTTAGATATACACAGACGAAACAGAAAACAAAAATGTATTAAAAGATACAATTACTTATACTTGAACTGAAAATAAAACGAAATTATATGTGAAAGATATATTGATGTTACACAACTTGCAAAATTAGAAGATAATAAAAACTACTTTTTTAGAATGTTGTAGAGTGTAAATTATTTATACTTAAATCTCAGATTATATAAATTTATTACTAATACTAATAGGCATTAAAGACATATATCCTATATAATTAATATAATATTCTCTTAATAAAATATATTGATACATTTGAATCTTATATTTAACGCCATTATTTATATTTGACAAGGTTTCAATAAAAATATCAAGTACACATTATATGAATACACATCATTATATAAATACACACATTTTAAATAATGAATATTTATTGAAAATATAAACTATTTCCTTCAGCAATGTACTTATATATAAAGTGTTGAAAAATTCTTGGGAGAAAAAATGAATATTTTATCATTATATATCATTGCATGCAAACAAAGCCCCAGCTTTATAAAAAATTCCATCTAGCAAAAATTTCTATTTATATAAATATAAATTTCTGCATTTAGAATTCATTAACTGGAGCTCATATTTTATAATTTACATTAGCAACTTACATTCTATGTCATATATTCACATTTACATTAATACATTTACTTATTCATAAGAATTTTACTTTAAACATAAAAGTAATACATATATATATTTATATTATGTATTATATATCAATAAAGTGATACGAATATTGCGTAAACGCTGTTTTATTCTTATATTTATTTTCTCCTCTTTTTTTTCTAAATATGTAATATTATAATATACACATATACGTAAGATATTCAAACATCTATCGTAAGTTCGTAAGTATATATCATTATAATATGTATACATATATCCTAATAGCAAAATATTAGTAATTTGGGGCCAAATTGGTAGCAAACTCGATCAGATTTTGACTATAAAATCATAGCTATCTGTGTCCATATTTGGCTATGGATTTGTAGACAAAGCTTGCTGATAGGCCAAGTCAATAAAATGGCAGAAACCGAGCAAAATCTGCTCGAATCAGGTCCTGCTCTCAATCTCAGGTTTTACTTAAAATCTGACTACGTTTACACGGTATCCTTAGGCCCAGTTCCACAATTCAAGGTTAACCGAGGTTTTATTTATTCCTCACCTCTTTCCAATTCTAGAATTGGAAAGATATAGAAAATAAGTTGAACCTAGGTTAAGGGTTTACCGTGAGTTATATATGGAACTGCGTCTTAGGCCCATTTACACCAATGTAGATTAACTTTAATCTTGGTTCAATTTGTTCTTCTTTTTCTAATTCTAAAAATTAGATTAATAACGGGTTTAATAACATCTGTGGTTATGAAACTAGCCAATCATGGCTATTCCTGTGAAGAATGGAATAACTGTGATTGGCTAGTTTTGAACTATGGATGTTATTAAATCTAATTAAAGATATTCGTGTATAGTCTGTGTCCGCAGGACTTTGCTATCAGGATATGTGTCGCGCGCGCGCGCGCGCGTATGAGTGTGTATTATAATACTTGAGATAGATATTTCAAATCACAAATAGACTACACATTCTAGAACATAAACTATCCAAAACTTATATTTAAAACACTTTCAATTAAAGGAGAAGATATTTTCAATGGCTTTTTAAATGTAATGTAATAGAATTTTATTTCTTATAAATTAAAGTTTTAAAAGTTTAAACTTGTTAATGTGTGCACACAACTGTGTTTTATAAATTATATTGTATTTTTCTTACATAACTCATTTATGCACACAAATCAAAAATTAAAAATTGACAAATTATGTAGTTAAATATGTAGCAAATATGTACATTTCGCGTACACAGAAAATTTATATATCTATTTATATATTCTGTTACTGACAGATTTTAGCAACTATGGCAGCATACATTTGTAACAGAATATTAGAACAATGGCTGCGTTCAGCAGAAAAAGCAGCTTTGCAACTGTTGTAAAATTTTTGAATATGATTGGCTTATACATATAGATCTAATGAAGAAGTAAAGGCAAGACCAATCATATTAAAGAATTTTGCAACAGTTGCAAAGCTGCTTTCTCTGCTGAACGCAGCCAATTAGCTGCGTTCGGAGAGCGCAGAGCTATCAGAGTAAGAGCCCCAACACACACTTTTGCATAACGCATAAAGCATGTGCATAAAGAATTTCATTGGCCCATTTTCTTATGCTTGAGTCAATGGACCAATCAAATTCTTTATGTATATGGTTTATGCGTTATGCAAAAGTCTGTGCTCCTCGCTTAAAACCTATCGCACATGAAATGCATAATAGAGCATGAGCATAACATAAAACTGTTGGACCAATAAGCATCCAGCATAAAGTTGGACCAATAAGCATCCAGCCATATTGATTAACATAAGATGCTCATTGGTCCAGCGGTCTTATGTCATGTTTATGCACTGTTATGCATTTCATGTGTTTTGGGCTTAACTGTATTATTCTATTTCTGTTTTATGTGTAATGAATGATAAAGATATATAATGAGCAATAACTCTTATAATAAACTTTTCGAATGCAGCCGTCTGCTCGTTATTATATTAAAGACATTTCGTACTTTTTATTAATATGTTCATATAAAACATTGATGAGTACATCAATGAGTCCAATGAGTCTCAACGTGTTCTTGTAGACCCTCTAACGTGCGAAATGGCCTGTCACACAATTGACATACATGCGCATTTGAATTATGTAGGTCTAAATGTTCAGCCAATTCCTTTTCCATGTCAAATAATTCATTGCAAAGCATGCATTGATACTGATAGATTTTTTTTATTCCTTGCTGCCCCCACTCTACTATCGCAATTTCCTCCTCGTGTGCTTGCATATGCATCTCTAGTAATATCTCCGAATCAAACGTCTCTGAGCATTGGCTGCACTGATATAAGCCGATTTCCTTTAATTTACTATTATTCTGATTGTCTTGGTTCATGCTAATCAGATTAGGATTGTCGTCAGAGTAGTCAAACAAGTGCTTGTTAACATGCTCTTCCAATGCTTGATCTGATTCCAGAATATTGCCGCAAATAGCACATTGATATTGCTCCTTGCTATTTTGTTCTCCTTCACTTACATCGTCGCAATGTTTCTGCAAGTGATCCTTCAGTATTTCCTCATCTGTGAAAATTTTATCGCATACAAAACAAGTATATTCTTTTGGCTTTCTTACAGTATTAACAGAGCTATCCAGTTTTAGACCTGTACTGGTTATTTTATCGGACTGAATATCATTCTTCTCGTTTATAGTAATTTGCGATTTTGTTATAGTTTCACTTCTCTGAGTTTGATCTTGATACTTCTGTGGCGACGCAGACGCCATTTTCTGCAACGTATCAGCATTATTCAACTTTTTGTTCTCGATCACGTTTAGTTTAAATTTCTTGTTATGCTCGTGATTCTCTAAGTGTTTCAAGAAAAGATTCTTCGAGCGGAATCCGGAGTTGCAAATGTAGCACTTATTATGGAGCGTTTTACATACGTGCATCTTTACAAAACGCGCCTCAACTATCTCGTGACATCTCTTGCAGCGCATCATCTTCTGTTTAGTCTGTTGTGGCTTCTGCGGCTTGGGAGCAGTATCATTATTTTGTAACGTAACCTGCACGACGTTAGTACCCGGTGTCAATTTATGACTGCGAACGTGCACCTCGACCTCTGTGCGACTGGAAAACGTTAATCCGCATACCCCACATATATGATTCTCAACTGTGATATTCTCTGTCTTGATAGTCTTTTCAGAAGCAATCTTCTGTTCATTTTGTTTCTTTTCTACCGGTTTGCCGATAATGATCTGTTTCGTCGTTGTATTTTTGGATGTTTTTGAGTTGGTCGTTTTGGATGGAGACCATTCATTCTCAATAGTTACATCATCTGAATCTGAATCGGAATAATAGGAGTCTAATGAGGCATAATCACCGTATCTTACTGGAATTATGCTCGGACGTTTATTGCGAGTAATGAATGGACTAGCATGTTTGCTTTTTGACGATCTCGGATTTAACGCGTGAGCGTTATTAATTTTATAATATTTACTCTCCTTTGCTATGTTTAGACGTTTTATTATAACTTTCGGCTGATATTTTGGCAACGTCGCCGACTCTGGTGAAATCTTCGTGAAGCTCAGACTGGCCGATGCATCGTTTATATTGTCTTCTGGCACGATATTGTTCTTTACAGATTTTACCATTATATCTTTCAACTTCTGGCCGAGCTTGTCCTGGAAGAAAATAGTAGGCTCTATTTGAACGCTATCAGTTTTTGTGACATCATTACTCTTATCGAATAACTTCTGTTTCATTTCTGTTTGGATAAAATCTTCCAATTCGCATTGCATGCGTTTCAAAACCGACAATTCACTACCTTCTACTTCAATATTCAAACATCTTTCAATGAACTTATTGGATTTGCTATTGTTTTGGTTTTTTGTTATCACGGGATTTACTCTACGTAATTGAACCGCATCAAAGATATCGGTATTCTTTTCTTGACTTTCCTCAAGACTACCACTTTTAGGATCTTTCATTGAATTACTACAATTTACTTGATCATCCACGACACTCAACGTTATGCTGAATGTGGTATCACCTAATACTAGCTCAGATTTCAACGAGTTAAAAGTTTCATCATCATCCTGCGTTTCGAATTTTTTCTTATCTAATGTAAAATCATTTGTTAACAAAGGTGAGGGATTTTCCATCGAGTTATCTAGAGAAGACCTATTTTTCTCGTCAGTGTTTTTCTTATTACTTTGATTCAACAAATTTTTGTTATTCTGTTGCAAAGTACTTCTCGTACTTCTACGCGAGTCGGAATCTACGTTTTTATCACAAATAATATATTTGTCTGTAAGACTCGTTTCTAGACTTTTCAGCACCTTAGCTATTTTCTTTTGTTTCTCTGTTTCTTTATCTGCATTGTTCTTCGCACGAGCCTTTTGCACAGGTGATAGTTGTACTTCATCGGAAGCTATGGAATCTGTATCGGAAACATTTCTCCCTATTGCAGCCAAAAGTGCCTTCTTCCTCTCTACCCAACGCTTCGTAGACGCCTTTCTCCGTTCGATATTTTTGCCACGTCTTGCAGGTAACAATCTAGCTCTCATTGGTCCTGAATAAATTTTACCTTCTGCATCCTCTTCGTCATTTTTCGCATTCTTTTTCGACTTAGATGAACTGTCGTTATCTGATATGCATATTGTGTCTAATATAAGTTGGCTCGTGTCGCAAGTAACTTCTGATGAAGACATATCCATCTTTGTTTTTTTCTGAAATAAAACAATTATTTTTAGATTGAATAATTTATCAACCAGATTTCTCATATATTATTGGGAAGAGATAGAAAGTCTAGAAAAGATTATGTTGATTTACGTAAAACGAATTTCTGCACATCAAGGTATGTGATAATGAGAGAGAGCTTTCTTTGGATAAACGATGAGATAAAGAATAAGAGTTTTAAGATATACGAGGATTAAAAAAACAGATAAAGATAGTATATTAAGATGCTGTTGGAAAAAAAAGGAAGAATATATAATAGATAGGAGAACTTATACGATAGAAAAAACGAAAGCTTCTATAATAGGTATGGATGAGGTATTGAAGCAGCAAAATTGTTAAATTAGGATAATGATTCAAGTTAGAAGAAATAATTAAAAGAAAAAGAGATGATAAGATAATAAGTTAACGACAGCAAGATACAATGAAAGGAGATCAACATAGAAAATAGAAGCTACAAAATCTAAAAAAAATTTGAATAAGGTAGGTAGGTAGGTAGGTAGGAATAAAAGAGAGTGAAGAGAGTTTATGTAAAAAAAAATGTCAAATATGACTAAAACTTTATATCTTGGGATTTCCATTGATAATAAATTTGAAATCAATATATTAAAAAAAAAAAAACAGAATGGCGGAAACAATATAACAGATGTTTATGTTACAAAATGTTAAATATAGCCAACATTTATAGCGTCATTTGCAATGTACTACAAAAATCAGCATAAAAACTAAAATGGCACCTAGTGGCAGCTAATTTTTATGGATTCTACTAGATATTAATAAAGATAAACTATATAATAAAAGTATGTATAAGTTTTTTAACGTAAATAGACATACATCACAACTATTTCTCTAGCTTTTTAATATTTTATATAAAATTTTGTGATGTTTCGTATAGCATGTATATTTATTATATATTTACTGTGTGTACAATTTATATAATATATAATATTCTATTTACTTCCAGGAGCAGCCTGATGTTGCAAAATTGAATTCAATGTTATATACAGTTATATAATTTTACACGAAGATTCCTTCTTAACGGTTTCCGCGGCAGTTGTTACTCTCAGAAAGGTCATTTCCGAATTAAATTTTAAACTTAAGTAGAAGTGATCGATCCTTCTCTCGTCGACGTAATGGCCCAACTATCAGCGTAGTACAAGCCAAACCAAGTACAATATTTTGAAAAATTCCTAATTTTAAAGTTAAAAATTTGAGGTTTTCGTTTTCAAGATTTTAGATCACTGTGCGGATTCACCTCTCGTGAGTAAGAAGAATAGACTGAGCGATCACGGCCCACGTGCATATATATTTGCATGGATATGTACTTATTCGGTAATCTGTAGAAATTAATATCTCCAAAAGTTTTGCAAAAATTGTAAAATAGGAGAACTTTTTGACTCAATTCAATCCACTCTATCTGCTTGCGAGAGGCAGTCTTGTAGGTCGAGAATACTCTGTATATATACTACTCAACAAAATTAAAGAATTATCTGTTCCATGTAAAAATAAGAAAATTTTAAAATATATGATTCTTCTATCATGAAATTTGTTTTATAAGGTGAAAGAGGTGATTCTTTAATTTTGTTGTGCGTGCGTGTGTGTGTGTAAAGAAAATGTTATAAAATATAGAATCAATATTATCAGATTTCTATAAGAATACCTTTTCAATATTATTATCCTCACTGCATCTACGTTTCCTTTCTGTATCTTTCGTTGTATAACTGTTATCCTTCGAGGAATCTTGAATCTAAGAGAAAAATATAAAGTATGAACTATTAAAACAAAATATCTAATCTACAATACACTCTTCGTTTGCTAATTCTTGCCTTCTAACTTTTAAGTTCTTTTACTATGGTAAAAAAAGCTGTGCAGCGATGTTATAACAGTAATGAAACTTGTGTTAAGAGTTATAGAATAGGCCTATAGGCTTAAAATCTAATGAAACTAGATTTGTTCTTTTTCCAAAAAATGAAAACAATTGCAGCATTAGAAGTTATTGCGAAAACCAATCAACATCTTGCTTACTTGAAAGTAAGTTACATAATTTCTACCATACAAAAGTTGAACTCAATCCAACTTTTGCCATACAGTGAAAGTAGTATTGCATTATTTTCATCAAAAGTTTTACAAAGTAAAGCTGACTTAAGAACATAAAACAATCAGCGCACCAATTTCTGTCGCATGAAGCTTGAGGTAAAAAAAAAAGTATAGACCTAAAAAGAAATTACTGCGTCAACTTACAGTGTTATCAGTCTCTTCTGACATATCTAGTTGTTCCAGGGACTTGTTGGATTGTATGAACTGTTCTTTAAATTCACTCCACATATTCAGCTTGTACAAGCATACATGACACACAAGCCCTGGTAGATTTTCTTCGTATTTAATCTGTAATAGACAAACATAATAAGTATTCAATCGAACATGCAATTTGACACAAGGAAAGATCAGTGAAATTCAAGAAAAAGGAGGCCCTACGTCGATACAAGTGCACTTGATCAAGTCCTTGAGCTTGGCTTCTAAGCATTCGTCTTGTAATTTAGTCATGCAGCCCTGGTCAACCAGGCAAATTCGGCAGCGCTCGGTCATGCTTAGTGGTTCGTGCTTGCCCGTCATTGTTTCAATGTCGCAATGACTTGCGGCAGCCGGTTTAGGAGCAAACTCGACACAACTAACAACGCTCAACAGTGCGTTGCTTGTGTTCCCGCGGCGGTCTTCCGCACTTCGCCATTAATAACCTTTCAATGCTGCTCCGCCGCTTGATTCGATTGCGGACAGGGTGAATACGAAACAGAATACGATCCACGATATCCGTCAACGACGGTCTCAGACGTCCTCTCGGCCGCTGTATTCAGTGGAATTCTATTTCTTACTTTACTTTAATCAACGAAACGTTCTTAATACATCAACAGAACACGCTCGACACACAGCAACAGCAAAGCGCGCGGAATGAAAACATGGCGCACTCAACGTGCGTAGTGCATACTGCGTACTCGCTTCGTGCTTCGTGCAGTAGTGCGGGGGAGGGGGAGGGGTGACAAAATCGCCTCACCCACGGTGATTCGTGGATACAATGGACGCTTTCGCAAAACGGGTTTCGTATTGGCCGAACAGCGTTAGATTAAACATGCGTCGTTCGCGATTTAATGGATGAAGATGACGACGAGATCGCGCTCGAAAACACCAGACAACACCGACAACACTCAAGAGAACGAGCCATCAAACACCGAAATAGATTTTCAAGTCGATCGAAGACGGTATTTGTGCACAATGGCGCAGATTTTCAGGAGACGCTCATCACAGCAATTTTCGAGGATCAAAAAATGCGAGAAAGAAACCAATTATGTAATCAATAATTTACAGTATATAACGAGGTATTATTTCGCTTGCTTCTCTCTATACTACATTGCTGACGTATCGACACAGATTTTAATGGCTGAGTCTGAAACAAAATTCACGAATAAGAAAGAGAACTATTGAATTAAATATCGTCACTGTACAGATAAATGCATTAAATTGCCAAATTAATAAATAGTTGTGTTCAATAGAAAAACCAGCTCTGCAACTGCTGTAAAATTTTTCAATATAATTGATCTTGCTTTTAAGAGGATGCTGGAGTTATCGACGGAACATTCATTTCGAATTTCTCATGTCATTTCGTTTTCCTTATACAGAATAAAAAATCATTCTCCAGAGTAAAAGGAAAAACACAAATAAATACGGAAAAGTACAAACCGGTATGAGAATCTCCAAAAAATTGTAAATTACAGTTTTCTCTGTTACCATGCAGATTTTCTTTCTTCATATATATATGTATATACAGGGTGTCCAGAAAAGAGACGATTTTCGTTTAAGGGGAGATTCTTGAGATAATTTTGAAACGAAAATTCTAATACCAAAATGTTAAGGCTATAATAACTTTTGAATTATAAGCGTTTAAAATTAACGAATCATATTGTTTAAAGTTGGCGCGCTCAGGAGTGGCATAACGCAAAAGTAAATACTAAACGCGAAAACTTATCACTTCTTTGTCAATAATGATTTTAAGAGATTATATATATGAATATAAGATTTTATTCTATTGATATTTCTATAAATGCAATATTCGAATACACTTTAAACATTTTATAAAAATATAATCTTTAATAAAATAATAAAGGAGAAAAACTATAAGAAACTTGTATGAATATTATAAAATCATTAATTATGAACAATTATAATTATTTGTACAACTTTATGATAATTAATTTATAAAATAAATTATGTATATTACAATAAATGTTCGAACTGTATTCCATTTTCACATCTATGCATAATCTTGCGCGTGTCAATAAATTTTGTTGCGTATTGAAATTGCGCGTAAAGAAAGTTGTGAAGTTGTGTG